CTTCGGTAAAAGCTCTATCCAAGAATCTCCAGGCGGCAGCAAGCACAAAGATTGATGCCGCTCTGGAGGAAGCCCAACACATTTTGGGACAAATCAGCGGAACCAGTATTGAACTTACACCCAATGAAAAAGTACTGGAGAAGGCAAGGATACTCTATGAGGATGTGAACACTCTGGTCCTGCCCATCAAGGAGCAAAACAAGAGCCTTAATGCCCTCAAGAATGATATCGGAGAATTCAGCGACCATCTGGAGGATCTGTTCAACTGGAGCACGGATTCCCAAGCCAAGTCCGCCGACGTGGAGCGCAGGAATGTGGCCAACCAGAAGGCCTTTGACAACTCCAAGTTCGACACCGTTTCGGAGCAAAAGCAACAGGCAGAGAAGAACATCAATGATGCTGGCAATTTCCTCATCAATGGCGATCTGACCCTCAGTCAAATCAACCAGAAGTTGGACAACTTGAGAGATGCTCTCACTGAACTCAATACGGTCAACAAAAATGTGGACGAAGAGCTACCCGCGAGGGAGGACCAGCACAAGGAGGCGGATGCCCTGACCGATCAGGCCGAACAGAAGGCGGCCGAATTGGCCATCAAGGCACAGGATCTGGCTGCACAATACACGGATATGACCGCCAGTGCGGAACCGGCCATTAAGGCTGCAACTGCCTACTCGGGAATAGTTGAGGCCGTTGAAGCTGCCCAGAAACTCAGCCAGGATGCAATTGCTGCAGCCGGAAATGCCACTGCTATGACAAATGGCATTGACGATAGAGCTCATATTGCTGACACTGACTCTACTAATCTTCTCCAAAAAGCCCGCCAGTCCCTGCAGAAAGTACAAGATGATCTACAGCCCCGTCTAAACGCATCGGCTGGCAAGGTGCAGAAAATCTCAGACGTGAACAATGCCACCGAGCACCAGTTGAAGGATATTAAAATGCTGATTGATCAACTGCCAGCTGAGTCTCAGAGAGATATGTGGAAGAACTCAAATGCCAATGCCAGTGATGCCCTGGAGATCCTAAAGAACGTCCTAGAGATCCTGGAACCAGTGAGCGTCCAAACGCCAAAGGAACTGGAAAAAGCGCATGGCATCAATAGAGATTTGGATCTAACCAATAAGGACGTTTCTCAAGCTAACAAACAGTTAGATGACGTTGAAGGATCAGTTTCGAAACTAAACGAACTGGCAGAGGATATCGAGGAACAGCAGCACCGAGTGGGCACTCAGACCCTACAGTTGGGCCAGGAAATTGAGAACTTGAAGACAAAAGTGGAGGCTGCTCGCCAGTTGGCCAACAGCATCAAGGTGGGCGTCAATTTCAAGCCAAGCACAATCCTGGAACTGAAGACACCCGAAAAGACCAAGCTGCTGGCCACTCGCACCAATCTATCGACCTACTTCCGCACCACCGAGCCATCCGGATTCCTCTTATATCTGGGCAATGACAACAAGACCGCCCAGAAGAACAACGACTTCGTGGCCGTTGAGATCGTGAATGGCTATCCAATTCTCACTATAGATTTGGGTAATGGTCCCGAACGCATCACCAGTGATAAGTACGTGGCAGATGGCCAGTGGTATCAGGCGGTTGTCGATCGTATGGGTCCGAATGTCAAGCTCACAATTAGGGAAGAGTTAAAAAACGGTGATGTGGATGAGCACAGCAATTCTGGCTATCTTGAAGGATCTCAGAATATCCTCCACGTGGATAAGAACAGTCGCCTATTTGTTGGCGGCTATCCGGGTATTTCGGACTTCAATGCTCCGGCAGACTTGACCACTAACTCTTTCTCCGGCGACATTGAGGATCTAAAGATTGGCGACGAAAGCGTAGGATTGTGGAACTTTGTTTATGGCGATGATAACGATCAAGGAGCCCTGGAGCGGGATGTGCTGCTCGAGAAGAAGAAGCGGGTAACTGGACTACGGTTCAAGGGTAATGGATACGTCCAATTGAACGCCACATCAAACTTCAAGAGCCGCTCCAGCATCCAGTTCAGCTTCAAGGCGGACAAGGACACCTCGAATGGACTGCTGTTCTTCTATGGAAAGGATAAGCACTACATGAGCATTGAGATGATTGACGGAGCTATATTCTTCAACATTAGTTTGGGTGAAGGTGGAGGCGTTCAATCCGGCAGCCAGGATCGCTACAATGACAATAAATGGCACAAGGTCCAGGCGGAACGGGAAAATCGAAACGGCCTTCTTAAGGTCGACGATATAGTGATATCCAGGACTAATGCTCCATTGCAAGCGGACTTGGAGTTGCCCAAGCTGAGGAAATTATACTTCGGTGGTCATCCAAGACGTCTGAATACCACGATAAGTTTTCAACCCAACTTTGATGGCTGCATCGATAATGTAGTGATCAATCAAGGAATTGTGGACCTTACCGAATACGTAACAGGCGGAGGAGTTGAGGAAGGTTGCTCCGCGAAGTTCTCTACGGTGGTGTCATATGCGCCGCATGAGTACGGATTCCTGAGGATGGGCAACGTTTCCACGAATAACAATCTGCATGTCGTTTTGCACTTTAAGACCAACCAACCGAATGGAGTACTCTTCTATGCCGCCAATCATGACCAGAGCTCCACCATTGGCCTCAGCCTGCAAGATGGTTTGCTTAAGCTCAACAGCATGGGCAGTCAGTTGGTAATCGACGATCATATTCTGAACGACGGCGAGGATCATGGGGTTACAGTGCAGCACACTCAAGGGGAACTGCGTCTCTCGGTCGATGATGTGTATAACAAAAGGTGGGCTTTACCAGGTTGTTGACCTCATTTAGTTTCTAATCTACTTATTTTCCCTCCTATAGACTCGGTTCTCCACAACCACTTATTCTGGAGGGTGGTGACATCTTCTTTGCTGGCTTGCCGGACAACTATCGAACACCCAGGAACGCATTGGCCTCCTTGGCCTACTTTGTCGGTTGCATCAGTGATGTAAACGTGAACGAGGAGATCATTAACTTCGCCAATAGTGCTGAGAAGAAGAATGGCAACATCAACGGTTGTCCACCCCACGTACTAGGTGAGCTGTCGGGATTTAGCTATCGCTTGAGTACCGATTTTTAAACTTCTCTATCTGCATACAGCCTACGAACCCAGTTTGGTGCCCAGCTATTATCCAAGTGGAGACAACGAGGTGGAGTCTCCGTGGTCAAACGCTGACACGCTGCCCCCACTTAAGCCAGATATAGAAACCACATTACCAACCACATTGCCAACCACATTACCAACCACGACGCCTACTACGACCACCACGACAACCACCACGACTACCACGACTACCTCGACTACTACGACCACTCCTTCAACAACGACAATTCGAACGACCACATCCCCGATTGCCTTTGATGAAGACAAGGAGAATGAGGCGAAAGCACCGCAAAGGACCCTAACAACCCGGGCACCAGCCAAGCTGCATCTTCCCAGCGACGAGCGCTGCAAGTTGCCGGAGCAGCCCAATTTCGATGTTGATTTTGCAGAGGCAGGATACCGATTCTATGGACTACGGGAGCAGCGTTTACAGATTAACTCACTGCCGGTTAAGGTACGCCGTCACCATGACATTGGCATCTCCTTCCGTACTGAGCGACCCAACGGCTTGCTCATCTATGCCGGAAGCAAGCAACGCGATGACTTCATAGCCGTGTATCTTCTGGACGGTCGGGTGACATACGAGATACGGGTGGGTGCACAGCTGCAGGCCAAGATCACCAGCGAGGCGGATCTGAACGATGGCAATTGGCACACCGTGGAGGTGCTGCGGACCCAGCGCAAGGTTACCCTGCTCATCGACAAGTTGGAGCAGCCGGGATCCGTGGATCTGAATGCGGAAAGGTCTGCACCGGTACTGGCTGTCGAGTTGCCCATCTATTTGGGTGGTGTTAACAAGTTCCTGGAGGCGGAGGTTAAGAACCTCACCGATTTCAAAACCGAAGTGCCGTTCTTTAACGGCTGCCTTAAGAACATCAAGTTTGACGCTATGGATCTGGAAACGCCACCGGAGCAGTTTGGAGTGGTTCCGTGCTCCGAGCAGGTGGAACGCGGGCTGTTCTTCAACAACCAGAAGGCGTTTGTTAAGATCTTTGATCACTTCGATGTTGGCACTGAAATGAAAATCAGCTTTGATTTCCGGCCGAGGGACCCCAACGGATTGCTCTTCTCTGTGCACGGCAAGAACTCCTATGCCATTCTCGAGCTGGTGGACAACACTCTGTACTTCACCGTGAAGACCGATCTGAAGAACATTGTGTCCACCAACTATAAGCTGCCCAACAACGAAAGCTTCTGCGATGGCAAGACGCGCAATGTCCAGGCCATCAAATCCAAGTTTGTGATCAACATAGCCGTGGACTTTATTAGCTCCAATCCCGGCGTGGGCAACGAAGGCTCAGTGATCACAAGGACTAATCGTCCGCTCTTCTTTGGCGGACATGTCGCCTTCCAAAGGGCCCCGGGCATCAAGACCAAGAAGTCCTTCAAGGGCTGCATCAGCAGGGTGGAGGTTAACCAAAGGATGATCAACATCACGCCGAACATGGTTGTTGGCGATATTTGGCAGGGCTATTGTCCCCTCAACTAATGAAGATCTTCGGAACGACTTAAGGACCCATGATTTATATTGACCATGACTACGAAAAACTGCCAGGAGAAATCGACTTTTGCCGACAACTGCTATTCAAAGGACAACGAACGAACAAATTTCAAACGAACAAAATCGACGGGTCATGGAAAAAGTTATGAGGTCTTCAAATAATAGATCTTCAGCACAGATGACAGTCGTAAATATTTGTATAGCTGTAAGCCAAACTACGTGCCAATTCTATAGAAGCCATTTACATTTATATAACCTCTTTAAAACTCCTTACCTTTTGTAATTTCAATAAACCAATAAACATAATCATTTTAATGAAATTAAAAATATTGGTAAGTATGCGTATTTCTAGTTTTATGGGAAAATAAAACATTATTTTACATTCATTTTTATTTTATTTACATAAAGCGACCGATTTAAAGTATTTCATATACTAAAATATCGAAAAATCGTAATAAATATTTTTCAATTGCTGACCACCTTTTTTGGTAACGTTTCCATATTTTGTTGCTACTTAGTTTGCCTTTAGTATAGCTTTCAAAATCAACGTTAACTTAGAATGATGGTTCAAGCTAGCTGGTCAAGTTCTGATAGGTATCAGATGTTGTACAGGTTGTTCAACCGGTAGGTCAGAAGTGGTGGAAACTGATCTCTAAAACTTAGCCAGTTTTCCCCACCCATTTGGTCCTGAAAGCCTTGTATAATCTACAATAGCGTAGTTTTGAAAGACAGAAACTTGTAATTTGAGGAAATAACTCACATTTTGAATCATCTGTCGCAGATCCTGTGGGGGATTCTCCCACGAGGCAACTGCATCGCAAAAGAATATGAAGTCGGTCATAATGCCTTCTGGATTCACCCTGATCATATGGCACATTCCCATAAAGGACGAATACTTCTCGCTGTTGTCCTGTATATGACGTAGTAACGTGCACCTGGACAAAAACAATAATTTCAGAAAAAAAAGAAGCTATTGGAGAAGAAGCTGAATGTGTACATACCACACCCGTGCAAATTCGGGCAAATGGGGAGCCACAATACCTGGACACGCATATCCTAGGCGACCAATTGTTATTGCTTCAACCGAAGAGTAAAAAATATATGAATTGAATATATTACTTGACTCCATCGGGAACTTAAAAGATCTGGATCTGGCCAAACTACTTACCCGTATTCTCCAGAAGAGTTTTTGGAATATTCTGCCGGTTGAGTATTTGCAGAAGGTTGCTAATCACTACCCATATGTACTGCTTGGCTGCCTCACCTTGGGGTCGAAATATAAAATATGTATTGAGTTACAACTTAAAAGGTACGAGCACTTACCCAATTTCAAGCACATTTCCCCTAAGGCCCAAATTGCATTGTTGCACACCTCGATGTAGCTACAGTTTAGGTTTATCACTATGCTCGAAAAGAATTCGACGGTGAAGGGGTGTACCTGGGAAAAACAGGCCTTGCTCAAATCACCCAGCAGGGCAAGCGAAGATTGGAGAACCTAATATTACATATTTCAAGCCAAATATTATAGATCAAAAGGAAATGAGACATACTGCAGGCATAACGTCATGCAAGCATTTGTCGAGGAGATGCACTATGTTGCTGCTGGCCACCAGTGGCTCGATGAGGCCGCCCAATCCTTCGGCTAAGCCAGAGAGCAGATCTATGGCAGCTACCATGACCTCCTTGTCGGGGTAGTCTAATGTTGGGTTTTCTTCCCACAGCTAGATTGGAGTTGAGCTTATTGACAGAAACACATTGAAGCAAACCCAATTGCTTACCTTTTCCTGATTCATAGTCTGCTCAATGAGGGAGATGCACCTGCGAAACACCGGGTCGCAGTAGGGCAGAAAGCCGGACTGCAAGGCAATGGCGATTCTCGACAGGCACTCCAGCAAAGGGAACAGATCCTTGTCGTTGTCCTTCAGCAGGTTCCACTTATCAATTAGTGGAGGCATTAAGATGTCAATGTATTGCGGTTTATTTAGATGATGCCCGACGGAGTCTGCCAAAGTACCCACTGCATCGTACAGTATCAGTAGATTCTTGTGCTGGTACTTGGAGAAGGCAAAGACGAGCGTCTTTAGAATATACTCCAGGTAGGGCACCAGTTCCGTGCAGGCCTCCTCCTCCAGAGTGGCAAAGGCAGAGCACGCAGCTTCCTGAACGCGCTTATTCGAGTCCAGGATGCGCTTCAGCAGCTCTTCCATGAGCGGCTTCAAGTACTGGTCGTGCGGCTGATTGACCACCCAATTGGCGTATCGCGAGAGCGTCCAGCATGTAATGGAGCGCACCAGTGCCTTCTTGTCGGACAGACAGCTTATTAGGTAGGGAATCAGCTCTGGCAAGTGTTGGATCATGCCCTGCATGCAGCCCTCCGCGATAGCTCCCAAGGCCAGGACACCACTCTCTTTGATCACCCACTCCTGGTGGAAAAGCGTCTCCTTGAGGATGGGCAGCATGACGGGTAAGCAATCCTCGTGGAAAATATTAGCCACCATGTCGAGGGAAGAAGCGCTGCACTTACGCAAGTTCCATTCCAAAAACGACTTGTCGTCGGGGTCTTCTTCCAATTCCGTATTTATTACGTGTGCGCGGGACTTGTGGAAACGTGGACTGATATCCTGCGGTCTATCAGGCTCCTCGTCATCTGTATCCACATTGCCCTTCAGAAGAATAATGTTGACCTCCGTGTAGTGCATTCGGTGCACTAGGACTGGGAGCAACTGAGATAAAATGGGAGCCAGCATATTCCTGCAGCATTTATGCCTTCCTAATGACAGCCAGAATTCGGAGGCCTGCAGAGCCACGTCCTCGTCGGCGTCCTGGGTGCGCAACAAAATGTACTATAGAGATTTTTCATTACTTTAAAATAACACCAAGCCTCAAGATTCTGTCAAATCTTCATACCCCAACAATCTGCGACATGTGCGGTATCATGAGGTCCATGCACACCTGCACCAGAGACACCAGTGCGTTGCAAACGTTCTTGCAAACCACGGGGTCATCATCCGAAGACAGGTGTAGGAGGTTCTGAATGAAGCTGTCTATGTTTAGCATCAGGGCCTGTGATCTGTTTATAATAAAATGGTTTATGCAGGCAATGGCGTGGGAGCGGATCTTTGGACTGCTGTGCTTGAAGTACTCCAGGAACTTTGGAATCATTATGTTTAATGGCCTGTTGAGCGCTGCGGAGTCCAAAATCTCAGCAGAATCCTCGCAAATTTTCTGCAGGGCACTGAAGGCTCCCTCGCACACATTGTAGTCCTGGTTGTCGAGCATTTCGCAGAGAGATGGAAGCAGCTGCGGCCAGTTGTGCAGACCGCCATTGCTGGCTATGGTGGTGATCAGGATGCCCACTGTGGCACGGATCAGGGGCGAAGAGTCGCCCACTGCCTGCAGGCACTCGTGCTTGATGTACTCAACGATCTCCGGTTGCAGAGTGGTGCCGTGCATGCGGATGTTGTTTTTGAGGATTAAACCGCAGAGGGATCTCGTGTGCTCGTCCTCTGTCTTCAGTTTAGTCAGCACATAGATCAGATAGTTGTTGAAGTCCGGGAAGCAGTGGAATTCCTTCAGCTTCTACGGAAACCGATGAGGATTGCTAAATCAGTTGGGTCTTCGTTACTTACCATTCGCACAACTAGCTGCGTGCCTGTGTCTGGAGACTGTGCTTCCTTGAGTATCGGGAGCAGCTGCTGCAGACCCTCATTCCGTGGTGTCCATGCCATTTTGCTGCTGATGCGACAGTTATCTGGGTTTGGTGTGATATATGTGGTGGTCTGCCAATGGTATTCTGATAACGAATACACGATGACACTCTGTTCTTGGCCTACTCATATAGCTCACAGAACATTTCTTACTGCCGCATTGAAATCATTATGTTGATAGTAATGTTATACATACATATTTATTCATATATATACTTTTCAATTTACAGAAATCTCGATAGTTGAATTTTGAAATGGAGTTTTAGTGAAACAAATATATAAACTCCAGAAGAATAATCTCTAATCCATATAGTATGATGTAGGGATTATACATACATGCATGTATTTCATATATATGCGTATGTTATTTATGAATATTTCCATATTTTGTTGCTACTTAGTTTGCCTTTAGTATAGCTTTCAAAATCAACGTTAACTTAGAATGATGGTTCAAGCTAGCTGGTCAAGTTCTGATAGGTATCAGATGTTGTACAGGTTGTTCAACCGGTAGGTCAGAAGTGGTGGAAACTGATCTCTAAAACTTAGCCAGTTCTCCCCACCCATTTGGTCCTGAAAGCCTTGTATAATCTACAATAGCGTAGTTTTGAAAGACAGAAACTTGTAATTTGAGGAAATAACTCACATTTTGAATCATCTGTCGCAGATCCTGTGGGGGATTCTCCCACGAGGCAACTGCATCGCAAAAGAATATGAAGTCGGTCATAATGCCTTCTGGATTCACCCTGATCATATGGCACATTCCCATAAAGGACGAATACTTCTCGCTGTTGTCCTGTATATGACGTAGTAACGTGCACCTGGACAAAAACAATAATTTCAGAAAAAAAGAAGCTATTGGAGAAGAAGCTGAATGTGTACATACCACACCCGTGCAAATTCGGGCAAATGGGGAGCCACAATACCTGGACACGCATATCCTAGGCGACCAATTGTTATTGCTTCAACCGAAGAGTAAAAAATATATGAATTGAATATATTACTTGACTCCATCGGGAACTTAAAAGATCTGGATCTGGCCAAACTACTTACCCGTATTCTCCAGAAGAGTTTTTGGAATATTCTGCCGGTTGAGTATTTGCAGAAGGTTGCTAATCACTACCCATATGTACTGCTTGGCTGCCTCACCTTGGGGTCGAAATATAAAATATGTATTGAGTTACAACTTAAAAGGTACGAGCACTTACCCAATTTCAAGCACATTTCCCCTAAGGCCCAAATTGCATTGTTGCACACCTCGATGTAGCTACAGTTTAGGTTTATCACTATGCTCGAAAAGAATTCGACGGTGAAGGGGTGTACCTGGGAAAAACAGGCCTTGCTCAAATCACCCAGCAGGGCAAGCGAAGATTGGAGAACCTAATATTACATATTTCAAGCCAAATATTATAGATCAAAAGGAAATGAGACATACTGCAGGCATAACGTCATGCAAGCATTTGTCGAGGAGATGCACTATGTTGCTGCTGGCCACCAGTGGCTCGATGAGGCCGCCCAATCCTTCGGCTAAGCCAGAGAGCAGATCTATGGCAGCTACCATGACCTCCTTGTCGGGGTAGTCTAATGTTGGGTTTTCTTCCCACAGCTAGATTGGAGTTGAGCTTATTGACAGAAGCACATTGAAGCAAACCCAATTGCTTACCTTTTCCTGATTCATAGTCTGCTCAATGAGGGAGATGCACCTGCGAAACACCGGGTCGCAGTAGGGCAGAAAGCCGGACTGCAAGGCAATGGCGATTCTCGACAGGCACTCCAGCAAAGGGAACAGATCCTTGTCGTTGTCCTTCAGCAGGTTCCACTTATCAATTAGTGGAGGCATTAAGATGTCAATGTATTGCGGTTTATTTAGATGATGCCCGACGGAGTCTGCCAAAGTACCCACTGCATCGTACAGTATCAGTAGATTCTTGTGCTGGTACTTGGAGAAGGCAAAGACGAGCGTCTTTAGAATATACTCCAGGTAGGGCACCAGTTCCGTGCAGGCCTCCTCCTCCAGAGTGGCAAAGGCAGAGCACGCAGCTTCCTGAACGCGCTTATTCGAGTCCAGGATGCGCTTCAGCAGCTCTTCCATGAGCGGCTTCAAGTACTGGTCGTGCGGCTGATTGACCACCCAATTGGCGTATCGCGAGAGCGTCCAGCATGTAATGGAGCGCACCAGTGCCTTCTTGTCGGACAGACAGCTTATTAGGTAGGGAATCAGCTCTGGCAAGTGTTGGATCATGCCCTGCATGCAGCCCTCCGCGATAGCTCCCAAGGCCAGGACACCACTCTCTTTGATCACCCACTCCTGGTGGAATAGCGTCTCCTTGAGGATGGGCAGCATGACGGGTAAGCAATCCTCGTGGAAAATATTAGCCACCATGTCGAGGGAAGAAGCGCTGCACTTACGCAAGTTCCATTCCAAAAACGACTTGTCGTCGGGGTCTTCTTCCAATTCCGTATTTATTACGTGTGCGCGGGACTTGTGGAAACGTGGACTGATATCCTGCGGTCTATCAGGCTCCTCGTCATCTGTATCCACATTGCCCTTCAGAAGAATAATGTTGACCTCCGTGTAGTGCATTCGGTGCACTAGGACTGGGAGCAACTGAGATAAAATGGGAGCCAGCATATTCAACGATCTCCGGTTGCAGAGTGGTGCCGTGCATGCGGATGTTGTTTTTGAGGATTAAACCGCAGAGGGATCTCGTGTGCTCGTCCTCTGTCTTCAGTTTAGTCAGCACATAGATCAGATAGTTGTTGAAGTCCGGGAAGCAGTGGAATTCCTTCAGCTTCTACGGAAACCGATGAGGATTGCTAAATCAGTTGGGTCTTCGTTACTTACCATTCGCACAACTAGCTGCGTGCCTGTGTCTGGAGACTGTGCTTCCTTGAGTATCGGGAGCAGCTGCTGCAGACCCTCATTCCGTGGTGTCCATGCCATTTTGCTGCTGATGCGACAGTTATCTGGGTTTGGTGTGATATATGTGGTGGTCTGCCAATGGTATTCTGATAACGAATACACGATGACACTCTGTTCTTGGCCTACTCATATAGCTCACAGAACATTTCTTACTGCCGCATTGAAATCATTATGTTGATAGTAATGTTATACATACATATTTATTCATATATATACTTTTCAATTTACAGAAATCTCGATAGTTGAATTTTGAAATGGAGTTTTAGTGAAACAAATATATAAACTCCAGAAGAATAATCTCTAATCCATATAGTATGATGTAGGGATTATACATACATGCATGTATTTCATATATATGCGTATGTTATTTATGAATATAGGCGCTTATATTCAATTTCGTTAGACATTTGCAGAACATTTGATTTAGCCTATACAGTGGTGTTAAACTTAAAGGATTACGGGATATAAACCTATCGGAGTTGAATGTTCGATGAACAAATAGTGGTACGAGCTGTGTATGAAGATATAAATTGTAAAACAATATTTTCGAGGCTTGGTCCTGATTTACTTAAAAAAACAACAGAAGTGAAATATCATAATTTGTAAAGGACTAAAAACAGTTGGTATGTTCTCCTCATTAATAGCATACACACAATAATATTGAAATAAATATGAAATACAAATTCTCTAATGGTGCACAAACTATTTTTGATTTCCTGTTATAATTTGTTTCTTGCCCTAGCTTGACCTAACATTTAGTTTATTTGCTGTTCCCTACATTTTTTTGGTTTGCCCTATCGTAATGAAAAATAATATTTTGAACAAAAACCTATTCTGCATAATATCTATAAATATATTTTATATTGTTGTATATATGTGTGGTGTGTATATGTTCAATGTTGTGTGTGTGTAGTTGTAGTGTTGATTCAGTTTTTTGTTTCATTTTTTCCTGCTTAAACGCTAATCACTAAGATCACCCGAGAGAGATACAAACGCACGCGAACGCGACCGGATTCCGCGATGAATCCGGATTAAGGTACAACGAAATCACGATTTTCCATTTTAGTTTAGTTTCAGTTTTAGCAATTGCTTTGCTTCCGCTTTAGTTAGACCGTAGTTATAGTTATCAAGTATTGCGATTATTATTTGGGACTCGGGGGCGAAAGTCCCTTATTGTTAGTTTTTAGATTGATTGAGTTTAACGCGACGCGAACGAACGACCCGAAGTTACTTTATTATCACACGTTCCCCCATTTTCGAAACGAAAAAAAACACAAACGTAAACACGGTTTGCATAATTACATAATACTATTACTTAGATTTACTTAGTTTTCTTCCGCTTCATAATCATCATTTTATTTGTATTTGACTGAGTTTGGTTTTCCCTAGTTTTATTTTTCGTATGTTTTAGTTGTTCCGCGACAATTTCAAAGACTTTTGTTTTCATTTAGTAGTACACTTTACACCTAATCATATAATTGTAAAAAATTTGTTCTGTACAAAGATCGTAAATTAAAGAGTTTACGCAAAACACGAGCCTATACAAATGATAAAAAAGTTCGAAGAAAATAATAATAGTTCATTAATTACACTTGTCCCTATACAAACAAAAATTATATAATAATACTTTAAAAAGTGATCAGTCAATGGTTGCTTTTGTATTCAGTTAATGGAAAATAAATAAGATACTCAACGAAATCCTAATCTCAATTTAATAATTTTTCCCTATTTGCTTCACAATGCGTAAAAAACACCTAATTTTGTATAGCATATGAATATCATTACGTGTATCAGTAAATTTGTATCAGTAACAGTTGCAATATTATCGTTATCCTTGTATTATATCCTTTTTTTTCATTTTTTTTTTACCCGACGAGATACCACGAACGACGATTACGATTACGAACGAGCGACGAAAATACGCGAACGCGAAACCGTTAGAACCCGAAACGCGACGATTTTTTTTTCGATTCCATTTTTTATTATATAGATGATGAAAGTGCTGGATTCTTCTGAAAAATTCGTATCTGCTGTTGATGAATGCTTTCTATGGTTTTTGAACGGAGTTGAACATCAGTCTTTGTTTGATTTGTAACAATTTATTCAGCTGAAGCTTTTCGTGTGCACCTGCCATTGAATCCATTTTTTCCATTTTCTTATCTTCGGATTTCACAGGAGACCCAACACTTTCATCCTTCATAGATTTCGTTTAGTTAGTTTGCTATTAATTACCGCGACGAGAACCCGACGATTTTTTGTTTTTTTTTTTTAGCTTTTATATTACCTATGAGAAACACCCGTGTGTTTAACATATTCAACTCTATTTTCGGTTTGGGTTTTGGGTTTGAGTGTAGTGGAGGTTGGGGCATGTCTGCTATAGCACTGACTCCGGTTAAGTACAGCCGGAACACATAATTTTCTAGTAGTTCCTAGTGAGTGTTCTGCATAGGAAAGGCATTTAATATGCTGTAAGCGGACAGACAAGTGCCTAAAGAGGTTCTACAGATCAAAGATCCTCTAGCTTGAATTGGAATATATGTGATTCTTCTGTATTAGATTTTTCGATATATGTTTGTGGTTTTAAATCTAGTTTGCTTTTATGTGGATTTGCTGTTTTCTTTCGGTTTCTATAAGCTTAAATTTTCAATGTTAACTTAAACTTCGAACTGCATCGAATCAGATAACTTAAGGAGGCTAAAGATAAAGACGACACGCTTATTACGCATACTTGTACATAATTGTCTAGTTAAGAAGTGGCTGCTTGGCTCGCTAGTGGGTGAACACCCACCTGTTTATGGCATGGCCAGCCTTAGATGTTATACATTGTGGCCAGGCGCTCGGCCAGGGTTGGCGGGAATTGCTCCACAAATCGACGCCAGTTTTCCTCGCCCACTTGGGTCTTAAAACCGTGCAGAATCTTAAAGGAAATATAAGTGAAATAAGGAAAATATGTACCGGTTGTAGTAGACTAACCTTCTGTATCATCTGATGCAGATCCTGCGGTGGGTTAACCCAGGAGGCGATGGCATCGCAGAAGAATATGAAGTCTGCGACCACGCCAGCTGGATTCACCGTGATCATATGACACATTCCACGGAAGGCTGAGTCCTTCTCATCATTGTCTCGTATGTGCCGCAATGATGTGCACCTGCATTTTTCAAATAGAGCGTTTAGATGGCTTTTTCATGTACAGTAAACTAAATTAGGAGGCTTTGGCAAACACGAAAGTTTAAAAGCAAATTGAATTTCCAGTTAATTGATGTTGATTAACGTGTTCAATTAATGTTGTTAGAGAGTTGTAGAACAAAGGAATTTATCGATGTGCTTATAGGTTTCAGTGTTTAAGCTTAATTTGAGTAATGGCACGGGAAGGATAGATAAGAGAATAGAAGGAAAGAATAAGCTATTTAAATATAAAACGTGTTACACACCACTGTCGTACAAATTCGGGCAAATAAGGAGCCACTTCAACTGGGCACACATAACCTAGACGACCGATTGTTATTGCTAAAAGAACAGAAGAAATAAGTATAAATAAATCAACTGAATAAATCAATATCATACGTAGTTCGCTGCGATTGATTGCTAAACTCGAATTGAATATCAATTGCGATTCTCGTCTATATCTATCTATATCTATGCATGTTGTATGGGAATGAGGTTCGATTTCGTTTCGTTGCTGCTCATGCAACAAGTAACACAAATTAAAAGAGAAACAAATTTCCAGACATCCACATACACGCATACATTCAGAGTAATATATATACAAACAGATCGCATATAAGTTCTTAGATAGCTCGGGAAATTCAAAAGATTTCTATCAGCCCAAACGAATTACCTGTGTTCTCCAGCAGTGTCTTGGGCGTGTTCGGACGGTTGATAATAATGAAAAGGTCGCTCAGTACAAGGCGTATGTACTGCTTAGTCTCCTCACCTTTAAGCCAAAACACATTTATTAAATGAAATGTCCACATTACTCCTCATAAGCTCCTCCCACTTACCCAATTTCATGCAGATTTCGCCAATAGCCCAAGTGGCATTATTGCAGACCGAAATAAAGTCGGGGTTAAGGTTTTGTCCCAGGATGGGAAAGAACTCGGCCATGAAGGGATGCACGTGGGGGAAACAGGCTTTAGTCAAATCACCCAGCAGGGCAAACGAAGATTGGCGTACCTGGAATTCATTTTTTTTTAGAAATTCAAAGGTTCATTCAGAAAAGTTGGCTTTGAAGGAGACATACCTCAGGCAGAACGTCCTGCATGCACTGGTAGAGTAGATGCATAATGTTGCTGTTGGCCACCAGTGTCTCGATGTGGCGGTCCAAGCCCTCGGCTAGGCCAGACAGCAGATCTAGGGCGACAATCATGCGCTCCTTGTCGGGATGGTCGTACGTTTGGTTTTGTTTACACAGCTTTAGGAGATTTAGATTGATTATAAATAATATTAACAATAAAAAAAACAGTTTGCTTACCATTTCCTGATTGATAGTCTGCTCAATAAGGGAGATGCACCTGCGATACACCGGGTCGCAGTAGGGCAGAAAGCCGGACTGCAAGGCAGTGGCGATGCTCGACAGGCACTCCAACAAAGGGAACAAATCCTTGTCGTCGTCCTTCAGCAGGTTCCACTTATCAATTAGTGGAGGCATTAAGATGTCAATGTATTGCGGTTTATTCAGATGATGCCCGACGGAGTCTGCCAAAGTACCCAC